ATCAGAGCACAGCGAACCCCCCATCCAATCAGAGCACAGCCAGGCTCCTTAACCAATCAGAACACACCTCCACCCAATCAGAACACAGCCAAGCTCCCACCCAATCAGCTCCAACCCCACTGGCAGTTAAAAGGAAGAAACAGCTGCGATCACACACCACTCTTAGAAGCACGAAGCTGAAGACACCAGCCTGAAGATGGCGAATGTGACTTCGTCGAAACGTCGCCAAGGTACTTTTAATTCTACGCGGGAGAAAACCCGAATAACTAAAGACCTACATACAAACACCCGCGAAAACCTCAGAAAATATATATATATATATATATATATATATATATATATATATATATACACACATATACATATACATATACATAAACACACACACATATATCACATAAAAATTACTTGTTATTTGCATTTAAAATGAATTTTGCTTTGGCGCAAAGTTCATATGATTAATGTCTCAATTTCTGCTGATTTTTTTCAGAAAAAAAATCACAATAAAACAACCACTCTCTGCTTTTGTATCATTTTGATTTTCCCTAATGGACTTTACAGTTACATTCAGTGTTCATGTTTATCTCAAAATTTAGTAAGATTTTTAAATAACAATTAAAAACAATGATGCAAACATACCCTAAGAAACTATTTCTGATGCAGATGAGAACCAACTAGGCATTAAAAGCATCTTAAAACACTCAAGTACTCATACATTTTAATTATCAGCAATTAAATAATTATATGGATTTCTTCTTCTCCTTTTTAAACTTAGCAATTTTTGTTTAATATTTTTCTACAGTTAAAGTCTTTGTCCAATGTTGTTATTTAAACACATGCTAACGTATACATCTGAGTTATTATATTTTTCCCATCTTTGCAGAAAACAAACCTGTTCAACATTTTGCAACATCAAAAAACATTCTCCAACTAATTAATTCTAATAAAACAAATATTAAAATTCCTAAAAATAACTGTCATACAGTTTTGTTTAAAACTTAGTCAATAATTTTCTGTGAATTTTTATTAACACAAACAAATTTAATACTAAAGCTATATATAAAATAGAATTTGGGGAAAAAAGAAAAAATAGAATAAAAAAGTATCTCAACAAAAATGAACACTGTCAATCTAGATGATAGATAGATAGATAGATAGATAGATAGATAGATAGATAGATAGATAGATAGATAGATAGATAGATAGATAGATAGATAGATAGATAGATAGATAGATAGATTATCAATTTGCTGGGAAACAACAGGGAAGAAGTCTGCCAAAGCAGACCAAACACAAAGAAAAATCTGGGAGATGTTTTATTTCATTAATTTTTTTAAAAAATGTATTTCAATTTTTCTTGTAAGAGTACGATGCTTTAAAGCAATCCAACAGGACCAGAACTTTTTCATTATGCTTACTATTTATCATAGGTGATAGAAACTCTTTATCCCACAGAACCCAAACAATCTCCTATTTAGGAAGTAAAGAAGTGAAAACAATGAAGAACAACTTTCCAATACAGGAAACCATAGTAACTCAATTTGTGGGGTTCTTATAAATGAAGCTAACTATATTCGGCATTCATTAAGCAGTTTTAAGTGCTGTTCTCCCTTCCTTTCTCTTATAAATATTTTTTTGATTTTTTTTTAAAATATAGAATATTGCCCTACCCAAACCAAGTGGGCTGTCCTTCCATTTATATTTAACACAAAGCTGCCAACTATTGGCTGCTGACTTTGGGCTTTATGACAATGTAATAAGGATTATTACATGTTTCCAGAGTTCAGAAAAGCAGTTGTGTCTTCTTTAGGTTTCTGCATACCTATACAGACTGGTGGGTTGGGCTGCCAGAAGTACCGATTTTCTACCTGAATGCAGGTTATTCGCTCATCTCCTTGCAGCTCATAGCCAGGATCACATTGAAATAGCACCATGTCCCCAGGTTCTCTTCCATCTCCATTACGGGTTCCATTCATGGGGACGCCTGGATCTCGACATGCCGTGGCTACAGAGCCTAGGAAAGAAAGAAAAGGGAAAGAAATAAATCAAAGAAAACTTTGATTCTATTTTTGGAAAAAAGTAATTAGCACATTGTAAGGATCCTAAATCTCTTTTTTTTTTTTGCAAGAAATGATCATGGCAAATATGATTCACATCTATTAAAGAATGTGTAGAGGCTGGGGAAGTACTGGGAGAAATATTAGGAATAAGCAACTAAAAGATAGGAACTGTTAATAAATTATTTAATAAAAAAGGAGTTCAATCCAGGATTGCAAAAATCCTGGCAAGATAAGGTTCACAATATTCAAAGAAACTCCAGTTTAATAAACTTGCTAATAAATGAGAGCTTGCAGTATCCAAATCCTCAAGATTCCATACTAAGAGTGTCATAAAAACCATCTTATTCAATCAAATCAAATCAAATCAACAATCAAAGAGAGAAGCAACCTAGAACTAAGGAGAAATTTCCTGACAGTTAGAACAATTAAACAGTGGAACCTGACTCCAGAAGTTGTGAATGCGCCAACACTGGAAGTTTTTAAGAAGAGACTGGACAACCATTTGTCTGAAATGATATAGGATTTCCTGCCTGAGCAGGAAGTCCCTTCCAACATCATCATCATCATCATCATCATCATCATCATCATCATCATCATCATCATCATCATCATCATCATCATCATCATTATTATTATTATTAGTAGTAGTAGTAGTAGTAGTAATTGCCTCTGTGATTCTTGCTTCGTTGAACACATCTTCTTTATTTTATTCCACTATTCGTCTTATCTATCATCTATTTTAATAATAGTGTGTGTGGCATCATCTAAGCCATCATCTATAATGATGCCACTTACACCATGACCTCACCATGTAAAAGAAGATAAATGCACCATTGTGAATTACATCATTTGCCAGTAGCAGAATAATATTCAGGCTCACTGTCATGAGATCTTTCTCATAATGTGGCTCTTAATTCACAGCATCTCCAAGACTGAAGCAGCCTAGCTAACTACAGATATTAAAACAGAATAACAGTGTTGAAAGGGACCTTGGAGGTCTTCTAGTCCAATCCTCTGCTCAAGCAGGAAACCCTATATCATTTCAGCAAATGGCTGTCCAGTTTCTTCTTGAAAACTCCAGTGATGGAAAACCACATGACATATTTTGCTTTTCACTTTTCTTTTTGGATAGTATGCAGCAATAGCAATAGCACTTAGACTTATATACCATTTCACAGTGCTTTACAGCCCTCTCTAAGAGGCTTACAGAGTCAGCATATTGCCCTTAACAATCTGGGTCCTCATTTTACCGACCTCGGAAGGATGGTGTCATGGTTCCGATAGATGAAACCCATCAAAAGAACTTCGAGTCAAAATTCTTCCTTAAAGAACATTTTATTTGGAAAACAAAGTATCGGCACTACATAGTTGAACCCCAAAACTAAATTCCCTTTCCCCAGATACAAAGTAACAAAGTACAATTCCCACCCCCAATAAACTGTCATAAAGCACATTCCCCCAATTAGCTTAAAGCATGGCCTTTCTCCTCAGCTCCTCAGTCCGCCAAAACATTAGCAGCTTGTCCTTGGGTTCCCACAGCAGCATTATTATTATGGCTAGCTGAGCTTACATCCCAACCCCCCCCCCCGCTGCACCTGATTTCTAAAAGCAAGAAAAAACATGTTAAAGGAATAGAGAAAATGGCTGCATTTTTATCAGTTGTCAGAGTAGGAACATCCAATGTTAGCAGCATTGACAGATGGAAGGCTGAGAATCTTGAGCTGGTGAGAATTGAACTGCCAAACTGCTGGCAGCCAGCAGTCAGCAGAAGTAGTCTATAGTATTACACTCTAACCACTGTGTCACCATGGCTCATATATCCAAAGTATGGATACTAACATCCATAGTATGTAATCACTTTTTTCCTTATTTTTTGATATAAATTTTTGAACAAAGTATGACACATTTCTGAGCAAGAATAGGACTGCACTGTCAATGTCACTTTTGGGTACACAGACCTGTCATTTAACCACATCTGTTTACGGTACACATGTTATTAAAAAATTAAAGTAGCAATAGATGAAATGATACAAAGAAAATGAATAGTGTTGTGCTTTTGAATCTTTACGAGATTAACCAGATTGCCACAGATTGCTCATATACTTCTCATCATTGGGAAGTATAAAATAATTAAATTCATTAGGTTTATTAGATATCAGTGGAAAAAGAACATTCTTTAGTTATAATAAAAAATATTCCAACATCAACAAGAAGTGAATACTCAAAAACCGATGTGTGACATTTTACTCCAAATAGAACTAGCATTTCATTAAATATTTTATAATAAAACCGCCAGGAGAAAACTTGACAGATTAAGTGAAAAGAAAGCATATAGTAATTTAATCAGTAATGTTCAACCTTTTGGATCTGCCAATACTGATATAAAACAGGTTTTAGCCTTCAGCAAGTTGTTGCCTTGTTTGTTTGTTTGTTTGTTTGTTTGTTTGTTTAACAGAAAATGCCAAAGTGAGCAAACAAACAAAAATGTCAAACCCTTATTTCATTGTATATGAGGTTACTCAATGCCTTAGAGAAAGGCTCAACTAAATAAATAACAGTTGTAGCCCAAACCACTAGCAGGTTATTATCAAAACACACTCTCCATTATTATAAGGAAATACATACTAATCCTGCACAGCAGAAAGATGTGGTTTGTCCTAATGTTGCCTTCACCTGGGTCACTGAACAATGTATATAAATGAAAATTCAGAGCTGACAAAGTAGAAAAAAGGTCACTTTGTGTCTTTTCCAGAACAAGAACTTGCCTTGAATATTAATAGAACTGAAACTTCCTTAAGGCTCACTGAATAGAACTGCAATAGTCTCAGGAAGGAATTAACTGATTAATTTAGAAGTGAGTGAGTATCTTTCTCAGGCATGATTCTAACCCTAAGTTAATACTAATATATACAATAAATCAATTTACACATATTATCGAAAGTCAATTTGGGTAGTGGCTAAAGGCGCCAGACTAGAAATTGGGAAACCATGAGTTCTAGTCCTGTTCTAGACTTGAGACTAGCTAGGTGATTCTAGGCCTCAGCCTAGGAAGAAGGAGGTAATGGCACACCACTTCTGAAAATGCTGCAAAGAAAAATGCTCCCTCCACTATCACAACTGTGGAAGCTTCTTGGATAAGAAGGGAAGTGTTTTCTTCCTCAAAAACAGTCCAACTGCCTTTTTTTTTGAAAAAGCACCTTTGAGACAACTGTAACCTAAATGAGTGAGAACCTCCATAGACGCTGCCAAGAAAACTGCATGGATTTATCCAGGCAGTCCATAGGAGTCAAGACTTATTCAAAAGCAAATATATTGTAAATATATTGTATATGCCATATCCAGTGGTGGGATTCAAATATGTGTGTTGGATGCCATTTCCAGAAGTCCATGTTAGGCCTGGGCAACAAAAAATTAGCTATCAGTTCTGCCGAAGTGGTGCGAACTGACTGAATCCCATCACTGGCCATATCATGTTGGCTAGGAAATTCTGGAAGTTGACGTCCACACATCCTAAAATTGCCAACTTTGAAAAAAAATTTCTGCTCTCTATTCTACGATTCATCTCAAATAAACACATGTTATTCCTTACTTAATTACTTACTAATTTATAAGCCACCCAATTTCTGATTCACATTCTGGCTAGATTATAACTAGGAACCAAAATGTATATTTAAAACACATACAAGATGCAACAGAGAGAAAAGCAAAATAATCAAAACAAAACTAAAGAAAACAAAAAGAAAAAATAGCAAGCAAAAAGGGAGGGGTCTACAATTACCCTGTCCTCAAGGTCAATTACTCTAATTAACAACATATCACTCTCTTGAAGGCTAGGGTTTTAAATATATATGCTAATTAAATGATTAGATTGCCAATTAAAGATATATTATTTCTCCCTGTATTTTGTTAAAGTGGTAGATATATAAAACCTCAAGAATCTAAAAAATAATTTGTCTCTATATATTCATTAAAGATCTTTTTCAATAAGTTCAAATATTTTAAGCATATTCAGTTCAGTCTTACTGACAGTTCTTACAGTCTTCTGTACTGATCTTGCCTCAGATAATTTTTAAAGGAGTATGTGTATATACTGTATGTACAGTACGTATGTTACATGTTACATGTTATGTTATGTATGTTAGTTAACATACACATACTGCTAACTCATTTAATTTTAAGGGCTTCCTTTAAATAATCTACATATAAGTTGTCTACCTAGTTAACCTTGACTGAAGTTGAAAAGCTAAACAGGGTTGGATCTAGTTGGCATTTTGGACAAAAATCCCTTATCAAGAAATTCCAGGGAGAAGAAGAAAACTTTTGAGCACTCAAACAAACGAACTGTCAAAGAGTCAAAACTCTTGAGCAGTCAAACGAAAAAGAAAGACATATGACAGAGAGATCAGTCAGTGGAAAACTACTTCCATATTGTTGCCAAAAACAAAAGAGAATAAAAGGCTATATGAGAATGACAAGGAACTGAAGTTTTAGGAGACTGCCTTCTTAATTATCTGTTAGATTTCATGTGCCCGTTACTGGAGCATTCACCTTCACCACGTCTCCTACATTAAGCATAAATATATACTATTCATTTATCAGTTTCTCAATGTATAACAGAAGTCCTGGATCTTGTTTTTTGTAAAGAATGCACAAGATCTTCCATTGACACTTCATTATTGACCACATGCTGTTTGTTTTGATAAGATGGAGATGATCCTTCTCGTTTATTTAGACAGACTCTAGCGGCTCAGACAGACTGGCTTACCCTTTTCAAAAATAACTCATCTGCTGAGTTCTCTTCCCTCCCAGCTGCAAATTTTGATCAACTGCTTCACTGCAAAGTTTTCATCAACCATGGACACATTTTATTTAAATTGGATTTAAGTCATCATTACTTATTTCTAAAGTTAGTTATAGTTCTTACTGGTTTTGTTTTAGTAAAACAATGCTTTAT